TTTTTTTTAAAAAAATGGGTTTTTTTTTAATGTAATTTTTTGAATATCTTTTATGCTTTTATATTCTTTGTACCTCACACTCTTAATGCTGGTCTTCGAACGTAATAAAGGTTGATTTAGTAGGAAAATCTAGCCTGGGTACAAAATAAAAATGTATCATATTGACTCAAGAAAATCCCAATATAAGGGAAGCCACAGATTCTGTTTTGTTCACATTCAAATGCAAAGACCTTTGAAGAAAATATTGTGTGGGACTTTTCTGAACTACCATGCGTGGATGTACTGGATCTTCTGACAGCCACATCCTAGTAGCGAATAGCTCTAGAGACTCTTGATGGGGAATCAGATCTACAGTATTACAGGCGCCCCACATGCTTTTCCCCATGCTGACTATACATTCTTTTACCCTGAACTTACTCATCATCATCAAGCAAGTATCATCACTGAAAGCAGACCAATTGGAGTTGACAAGGGCCTGCTTGAGCTCCTTGATTGTGATGTATCCACTGTGGTCAGCATCTACAGTCTGGAACCAAGAGAAAGCTTCTTGGTCCACACCAGGGGGAACATGCCCTGTGTGAGAAAGAACGTGATATAAAAAACATATACAGAGAATAGTAGAGCCTTTGATTAGAGCAGTGATGGTAAACATTTGCGGCACTTGGGTGGAGACAGCGTGCATGCACGCTCGTTGGGGCCACGCTCTAAAAAAGCCAAACTTCCGGGTTCTAGCATGCATGCGCGCCCAACAATCAGCTGACCAGCACACATGCGAAGGACGGTTTTTGGCACTGACACGCACGAGAAGGGATCGTCCTCCAGAAAAGACGAACTTCCGGGCTCTGGTGCACATGCGCACCCGACAATCAGCTGGCCGGCACGCATGCAAACACTAGTTTTCAGCACTGCTGCCCATGCGAAGGACAGCTGAGCGTCATGCGTGCATGCATGCCAGAAACCTGGAAGTCAAACAGGCAAGGCCGCATGTGCCAGGCGACATGGCTTTGTGAGCCATTTTGGGCACACGTGCCATAGGTTCGCCATCACGGGACTAGAGCATGCCAAGTACTCACCAACATGGACAGGGAACATCTAGCAAGCTTCTGACAAATGGAGACGGGAAGATGAGACACAAACCATCTACTCATTAGCTGAGTAATCCTTCCCACCACGTCTTTGAAAA